GTTCTAGCCAGGCAACGTGTTGACAAGGTCATCTCGTACGGATTAATAATTTAACAAAGAACACTGTGTAAACAAGGGAACTCAGTTGCTGGGCTATCCTGAAGGTATCTTGAAAGCCAAATATATCACCAGGATCTAGGGAATAAATGCAATTCATCATCATCATCATCATCATCATTAGCAGCAGCAGCACCACTGTGCTCATCTCCGTCAAGAAGTGGCTAGAATGAGTGTCAGTTTAGTTTTATGCCGCTTTCAGCAATATTGCAGTAGTATCACGATGGGGGATACCAGAAAAGGGCTTCACGTACACAATGTACCCACGCGGGTCTCCGGCTTTAACCACTTGGCTGCCACACCTGAGGGGTAGCTAGTTGCTGGATCCATGGTTGCGTCATATCAAAGACGTAAAAACGTGGTATTTGTTGTTACCTTGCCTGGAGCTCGGCGTTTCGGAGGTGACCGGCCATCTCGGAGTCAGTGTTATGTGTCTGGGAGGGGCATACATGTTAAACTGCGGCATGGTATCCCTGGATGTCAGCCCTATACAACTGGATCATCTCCGGACCAGCACAAGCAGTCACACATGCTTGTGTGCACGTCGCTCTATTGGGTGATATCAGCTTGAACACAACGTTAATCCCCAGCTTGAACACAACGTTAATCCCCCCTTTACACCATTTCCGCTCATCATGATCATCATCATTCGTATCAGATCACCATCCCCATCATAGCATCGTCACCATCCAACGCTACGTTTGACGATTGCAATAGTCTGATAATTGAGATACCATGTCCAATTGTTGCCACAGTCTATTAACTTCAATACCTCACTTTACAGGTCCAATGGTTGCCACAGTCTATTAACTTCAATACCTTACTATACAGGTCCAATGGTTGCCACAGTCTATTAACTTCAACACCTCACTATACAGGTCCAATGGTTGCCACAGTCTATTAACTTCAATACCTCACTATACAGGTCCAATGGTCTATTAACTTCAATACCTCACTATGCAATGGTTGCCTCAGTCTATTAACTTCAACACCTCACTATACAGGTCCAATGGTTGCCACAGTCTATTAACTTCAATACCTCACTATACAGGTCCAATGGTTGCCACAGTCTATTAACTTCAATACCTCACTATACAGGTCCAATGGTTGCCACAGTCTAATAACTTCAATACCTTCACTATACAGGTCCAATGGTTGCCACAGTCTATTAACTTCAACACCTCACTATACAGGTCCAATGGTTGCCACAGTCTATTAACTTCAATACCTTACTATACAGGTCCAATGGTTGCCACAGTCTATTAACTTCAACACCTCACTATACAGGTCCAATGGTTGCCACAGTCTATTAACTTCAACACCTCACTATACAGGTCCAATGGTTGCCACAGTCTATTAACTTCAATACCTCACTATACAGGTCCAATGGTTGCCACAGTCTATTAACTTCAACACCTCACTATACAGGTCCAATGGTTGCCACAGTCTATTAACTTCAACACCTCACTATACAGGTCCAATGGTTGCCACAGTCTATTAACTTCAATACCTCACTATACAGGTCCAATGGTTGCCACAGTCTATTAACTTCAATACCTCACTATACAGGTCCAATGGTTGCCACAGTCTAATAACTTCAATACCTCACTATACAGGTCCAATGGTTGCCACAGTCTATTAACTTCAACACCTCACTATACAGGTCCAATGGTTGCCACAGTCTATTAACTTCAATACCTTACTATACAGGTCCAATGGTTGCCACAGTCTATTAACTTCAACACCTCACTATACAGGTCCAATGGTTGCCACAGTCTATTAACTTCAACACCTCACTATACAGGTCCAATGGTTGCCACAGTCTATTAACTTCAACACCTCACTATACAGGTCCAATGGTTGCCACAGTCTATTAACTTCAACACCTCACTATACAGGTCCAATGGTTGCCACAGTCTATTAACTTCAATACCTCACTATACAGGTCAATGGTTGCCACAGTCTATTAACTTCAATACCTCACTATACAGGTCCAATGGTTGCCACAGTCTATTAACTTCAATACCTCACTATACAGGTCCAATGGTTGCCACAGTCTATTAACTTCAATACCTCACTATACAGGTCCAATGGTTGCCACAGTCTATTAACTTCAATACCTTACTATACAGGTCCAATGGTTGCCACAGTCTATTAACTTCAACACCTCACTATACAGGTCCAATGGTTGCCACAGTCTATTAACTTCAACACCTCACTATACAGGTCCAATGGTTGCCACAGTCTATTAACTTCAATACCTCACTATACAGGTCCAATGGTTGCCACAGTCTATTAACTTCAATACCTCACGATACAGGTCCAATGGTTGCCACAGTCTATTAACTTCAATACCTCACTATACAGGTCCAAATTGTTGCCACAGTCTATTAACTTCAATACCTTACTATACAGATCCAATGGTTGCCACAGTGTATTAACTTCAATACCTCACTATACAGGTCCAATGGTTGCCACAGTCTATTAACTGCAATGCCTTACTATGCAGGTCCAAATTGTTGCCACAGTCTATTAACTTCAGTACCTTACTATACAGGTTTAATTGTTACCACAGTCTATTAATACATAGGACTGGTTTACGTTCTTAAACAAACACTTTGAATTATTAATACATGTATGTACAACGCACGTTAAAACAGAATCCGTTTTCAGCCGGTTTCATTCCATGATAATGAAAATAAAAAGGATTCATTTGCATTTATCTCTTTTCATCTGAAAATCTGATCTCTAAGGGAATTCATTTGAAAGTAACGACTTTTGTCTTTGTCTTAGTTAGTTGTGGGTAGTTATTAAGATAAATATGTCATTAGCTGCCCAGGCTATCATATTGCACTGCTTATTAAGCCCGTCTGAGACGCCTGTGGAAATATCAGAATACGAAAATGTCAATGTATGCTCAGCATTTCTATCTACTTAGTCCTTGATGATGGTGTTTTATAAACCTGTTGGAGATGATATATACTGATTCCACATTGCATCTGGAGTTTGAAATTTGTTCTAGAAATGTTTGTTCTTGAAAAAAGATTGGCATTTGATTTATATCAATTTTCATTTGACATTAAAAGCGGAGGAACTGATATGGTAAACGTATCTTAACGTATTATCGTTTCATCAAGGATAGTTGTCTTTATTGAAGAGGCTCAGGTTTCGTTATTTTAATAACTTTTTTTTTCCTATTCATTCAGTCAATCGGTAATATTATTCCTCTTTGTATTCTTATTACTATTTGATGCCATCTATCCTTAATGTCAAATATCGACGATGTGAAGAGGATTTCTTAAATGAACACGAGCAAATACTGCCAGACAAACGAAAGTACATACTAAGTTTCATCGTGGCTACACATGAAACAATCATGAAATCGTAATTGGGCGGCGATGCATTTAATACGGGTGTTGTACACGATATCAATTATGATATGTCAATAATTACCTCACGACACCCATGGCGGTGACGTGTCAGAGAATATGGGTGTGGCAGTATCAAACTACATATGAGTGAGTGAAATTTCTCGTGTATACCGTCTTTACCTATGTATACCCTCTTTCCCCGTGTATACCCTCTTTACCTGTGTGTACCCTCTTTCCCCGCGTATACCATCTTTACTTGTGTGTACCCTCTTTACCCGTGTGTACCCTCTTTCCCTGTGTGTACCCTCTTTCCCCGCGTATACCATCTTTACCTGTGTGTGTACCCTCTCGCGTATACCCTTTACTTGTGTGTACCCTCTTTCCCTGTGTGTACCCTCTTTCCCCGTGTATACCATCATCTTTACCAGTGTGTACCCTCTTTCCACGTGTATACCATCTTTACCTGTGTACCCTCTTTCCCTGTGTGTACCCTCTTTCCCCGTGTATACCATCTTTACTTGTGTGTACCCTCTTTCCCCGTGTATACCATCTTTACCTGTGTGTACCCTCTTTCCCCGTGTATACCATCTTTACCTGTGTGTACCCTCTTTCCCGTGTATACCATCTTTCCCTGTGTGTACCCTCTTTCCCCGTGTATACCATCTTTACCTGTGTGTACCCTCTTTCCCCGTGTATACCATCTTTACTTGTGTGTACCCTCTTTTCCTGTGTGTACCCTCTTTCCCCGTGTATACCATCTTTACCTGTGTGTACCCTCTTTCCCCGTGTATACCATCTTTACCTGTGTACCCTCTTTCCCCGTGTATACCATCTTTACCTGAGTGTACCCTCTTTCCCCGTGTATACCATCTTTCCCTGTGTGTACCCTCTTTCCACGTGTATACCATCTTTACCTGTGTACCCTCTTTCCCCGTGTATACCCTCTTTCCCTGCGGTTTAGTATATCGCATGGTTGTTATTTTTTCAAAACACCATGTAATTATGTATCATTGGTTTCCCTCATTTCTCAGGAATTCATCTTTTATTGATTATTCATTTAATCTATGCAAGAGATGCCCAAACTAAAAGAATGAATGAGTGAGGTGGACCTCACGCCACGTCGAACGCTATTTAATGTCTATCACAGCGTGTTAGCGTCATGTGAGAGAAAAGGCGAATTGACGCAAGTCGTACACGTTCATCGCTGTGGTGAAACTCGCGGGAAGGGAAGACTCTGATCAGGAAGGAAACAGAAATCCCCCGCCTTGAACATATACATCTTACAAAACACAGCAAATATCCCTGATAACCACATCGTTGGGGCTATCATACATTTGGTTTTAGTAGCTGCAACCTTAAAGGCGAAACCATTGTTATATATACGAGGTGTAAAAATACATGTGTATGACAATAGACGCTATATGAAAACACAGGTAATCAATACTTCAAGGAAACAACGATGCATGTCTAAAAACATAAAGCTGTACATTTTCAAGAGTATTATTCGAGTGTGTATAGAGTATGGCAAATGAAACAAATCGGATCATGTATTGCACAAGGATGAAGACTCACCTGTATGTGCTGGTCAACGATGGTCAGTCGGTACACTGGACGGCACGGTGTGAGAAAGGACGTCCACCGACTGAATGATGACAGGACTCAGGCGTGTGATTCCTCAGTGTCCGGCAGCAGATAAACTGTCGATGAAAGCTCCGCATCAATCATCAGCCTCAGCAGCCAAGAGAGACGTACTGACGTAAAGGGTATCTTAGACACGTTCGCTGTTTTCTGTCAATTCCAAATAATGTCCATGTAAGTTGTGATTATTTCACAAGAAATCCCAATTGTCGTTTAAATGTGGCAGACAAAACAGTCTCATAGCTAGACACACCGCCAACCCGTCTGTAAGACTTGACGAACTGTCTAGAAGCAGACGACAATGTAGTACAGACGACACCTTCGGAATGACCGTTTCCAGCGGTCCTCGCTGACAATATGCCAGAACGGTTGAGCTGTGGTTCTGATCGTCTGCGTCTGTTGCTGAAAGCGGCTTGATTCTTATCAGTCAGTTTCTAAAACAATAGTCCGTCAATAACGCCATCACTTTCCTGCAAAACAGTTATCAATAATTAACCAATACAGACAAGATCTATTGAGATGCAGCCACGCAAACTTCATAGACTAGCTATCTAAGTGCATGGCACTACCCTTGGGGCGATGATTAATGCCGCATGTATTGTCAAGAACATTAACTCGAATGATCTCAACCCTGCCACGTAGAATGATACTGACCTATGAATTAATCAATACCCGTTAATAAGACTTTTTAGTCGACGTGAAAGAGAATGTTTGCTTTGCAAACAAATTAGAAAACGATATCTTAAGAAATGTGGCAAAGGACATCGATCAAGCGATAAGAGTTGTTTTTTTCAACTTTCACGTCAAGTCGCAAGGAAATTCTTCGCAAACATGTTTTAACAACTCGATATTTTTCGGGGAATGTCAGTGTCTTACTTTCAAAGATATTTCAGTCTCCGAATTTCCACCAATCGCTATCTCAAGTAGTCTTTGTTCGCGTGGCCTCTCGTCAGCAGTCGTTGTCCAAGACAATCCTCCCTTAATAGGAACGGATTTATTTCGGATCTGGCTAAATTTCCCCCATGACGTATGAGATCAAAATATAGTGATGTTTGATAAAATGCTTCTTATAGGCTCAACGTGATGTCGATGAATCTTGAATTACTAATTTTTGCAACTTTCAAATGTAACTTTTCGGCTTTGTAATGCTCAACATGAACTACCAGTGAGTGTCTGGGGTGTTTATGCCCTTTTAACCGTTATTAGCTCCTAGACAGGGCAATGCTGGCTCGGGGTAAAAGAGTTAAATAGATAAAATGGTAATTCGATTGAACTAACAAAACTATAGATGTTGGAGTGAAAGCTTTCTGCTTGATCATCACTACACATCCTCGATTATCCAGTGTTTGATATCGTCATGCATTATTGAATCATGATTTAATACCCTGGATAACCGAGGGTGCATTCGTCCTACAGTTCAACAGGGGTTTGTATTACAGATGCGTTTTAACACCAGGTCTACACCGGCTAACAAACCATCGTGTTCGTCTGTGACGTCTGAAGATGGGTTGTAGCTCGACAGACCACGTGTGGGTCCTTATGCTTTGGTTTAGCTCGACAGATAACATGTGAGTTTATAATATGTGGTGTAGCTCAACAGTGAGTGAGCGAGGGAGGGAGGGGAGTGGGGGACGTAACTATTATTTGATATCTAAAAGGAAATTCTCCTTCGGTCATTTTGGAGTGTTTGATCGTATTTCAAGACAAGCTATACTTCCAAACACTTTGTGCAGCATCGCCCTCAGGTGTTGAGTATACCCAGACACACACACCTGTTGTCTGTGGCTGATGCATTCCTACGTTACCAGTAGCCATTACAGTGTGCTATCCGGGGTAGAATTGATTTCCAGTAACCCATGCTTGTCGTAAGAGGTGACTAACTTGATCGGGTGGTCAGGCTCGCTGACTTGGTTGACACATGTCATCGGTTCCCAATTGCGTAGATCGATGCTCATGCTGTTGATCACTGGATTGTCTGGTCCAGACTCGATCATTTACAGACCGCCGCATAAAGCTGGAATATTGCTGAGTGCGGCGTAAAACTACACTCACTCACTCACTCCATAATGCTGAAAAATGTGTTAAAACTATGTAAAATATTTACAGCAAGTAACAAATGTGTCAGAAATGTGTTAAGTACTTACCGCAGTAAATCTGAACACATCACGTGTAGCTGATAACAGTTACAAACAAATCAAATAAACTGAGAGTAGGAAGTGGATTTCCAGGAACATTCGAGCAATATCAGTGCGGTGTTAGCATACAATGGAGATGGTCACACAATACATCTTTAGTTATATATAACCAAAGTATTGTGGTTCACATTTCCTGCAAGCTTTGCCATTAGCTGACCTCTACTGTGAGCCATGTAGCGTCTCCAATATACAATGTACACGATATATAGTATGACCAGAAATTATTGAGAATTTTAGGAATATGTTTAATTGGATTTCTAGTATAAACAACCTTGACCAGCTATCAAGTGCTTGGGTTCATTCAAGAGAGACAACTCCGTTAATCCTTTTTCATTAGTTTGTGAAGAGTTATCCCTCTTTGTTTACTTGCTAGCAGACGACATTTTCAGTGATCCTCAGTATGGATGATTTAGAGAAGAGGAAGTTGATTTTAGAGTATCATAACAAGAACATCAGATCAGCTAAAGTGATTTCAAGTAGAACAGGCGTCCCTTTGTCCACTGTTTATCGTGTTTTGAAAAATATTGCAAATGGATATGGCATTGAGCACCAGGGAGGCGCAGGTAGGCCCAGAAAATTGACTGTCGGTGACAGGAGGCGGCTTGGTATTCTTGTTTCTAAAAAAACCCGAAGGAGTTTAGAAAACTTAAGGCTGGATATGAGTGATAGAGGAACTATGTCTGTCTGTAAGGAGACAATTAGAACTGAGCTGCATGCAATGGGTTGGCAGAAATGTCGAGGAATTCCATCACCGATCATGAAACCTGAACAAAAGGAGCGAAGGTTGAACTGGTGCTTACAGTATAGAAATTTTAACTGGGACAATGTGATTTTCTCAGGTGAAAGTTTTGTGTGGCTGTTTCCTAATACACTGAAATTCTGGACCAAACAAACTGAAAAACCTTTGTATCAGCACCCAAAGTACAGTCCGAAAGTTAACGTGTGGGGTGGCATATCTATGTTAGGGGCAACGCCCCTCTGTGTATTTGAAGGGAATATGAACAGTGAGCGGTACACAGATATTCTCGAGGGACATTTACTTCCATCTGTTCACGTGTTCTATGGAAAGTTTTGGATTTTCCATCAGGACAACGACCCAAAACATCGTTCAAAGCATTCACAGGCCTGGTTTCGGACCCAAAATATGACATTATTAGATTGGCCAAGCTATAGCCCTGACCTAAATCCAATAGAAAATGTTTGGGGACTTATGAAGGAAAGTGTCAAGAAGACAAATCTGACAAATATTGCTGAAATGAAAGAAGAGGTGGTCCGATATTGGGACTTTCTAACTTCTTGATCAGTAGTATGCCCCGCCGCATTGAAGCCTGCATTGCTGCCCATGGTGACTTGACAAAATACTAACTGTTCACCTGTCTTTGAATCTGGAGTTATGTTCTGCTAATATTCACATTTAATACGTGAGTAATGAGTGAAAAAAATAAAAAATTACAATCTTTAAATTCTCAATAATTTCTGGTTGTACTGTACGACGTACAAACACACACATATATACACATGCACGCACGCACGCACACACACAAAATTACACAGCTGACCGATAGGGACAATTAAACGACATGTAAGTGATATTTAAAGTGACGCTTGACTCAATGGGAGCGATGGAATAATATTCATTTTCAGTATCTTTCAAGATAATGATGATTGAAATATAATGATGGCCATTTTTCATGTTTAATAATATCACATTACGCTGAATTGACGTTTAATCTTAATTTGTTTCAACTCAAATCTCCTCATTCTCAGAATGTGAGTCAATTTTGTTCTTTCTTCCAAGTATACTTACATTTCTGTAATGGAAAATAATCAAAATCGGATAGATTAAAAGGGTTGTTATCCTTCAACCTCTCATCCTAAAAACAATGTACTTTTTTCCATATCAACATGTTTATCAGTTCTGAATATAACTCACCTAGGTACAGATTTTTTCCAGCCGTCATATGAAATAAGAGAACTATTATCTCTTAAGATGCAACAACACTGGGAAAATCATCGTGTTTTTGTTGTTGAAAAGCAATTACTCATCGTTGTTGAAACATATGCTGGGATGAATTCATACAACTGATTTGAAAAATTGCACGTCAGTGTGCTATTTTACATGAATCCAATTTCACAGTTACAGGCAGTTAATATACATCTCTGCTACTTTCAGTAATAGGCACATCAGGTTTCCCCCAAGCGCCGTCATGAACAATGAAGAGGGTCGAAAAATGTAATTAAAGGACATGTGTGGTCAATAAAATGGTCTCTTGGTGATAAGTTTAGATAAAATTGCGTGGAATGCTATTTTTTTCTTCGCCGAGAGTGCAGATCTCATATTCACACTGTTGAATGAATAGGGTTCAAAGCTGTTTCGAACATCTTGGTGACGTAACCTGCAGCTCCAATGTGTAACTTGCAGGGGTAGCATGTAACCTGTCAGCTGTAAAATGTAACCTGTCAGCTGTAACGTGTATCCTGTCAGCTGTAACGTGTGTTCTGTCAGCTGTAATGTGTGTTCTGTCAGCTGTAATGTGTAACCTGTCAGGTGTAATGTGTATCCTATCAGCTGTAATGTGTGTTCTGTCCGCTGTAATGTGTATCCTATCAGCTGTAACGTGTAACCTGTCAGCTGTAATCTGTAACCTGTCCGCTGTAATGTGTATCCTAGCAGCTGTAACGTGTAACCTGTCAGCTGTAATCTGTAACCTGTCCGCTGTAATGTGTGTTCTCTCAGCTGTAATGTGTAGCCTTTCAGCTGTAATGTGTAACCTGTCAGCTGTAATGTGTATCCTGTCAGCTGTAATGTGTAACCTGTCAGCTGTAATGTGTAACCTGTCAGCTGTAATGTGTATCCTAGCAGCTGTAACGTGTAACCTGTCAGCTGTAATCTGTAACCTGTCCGCTGTAATGTGTATCCTAGCAGCTGTAACGTGTAACCTGTCAGCTGTAATCTGTAACCTGTCCGCTGTAATGTGTGTTCTCTCAGCTGTAATGTGTAGCCTTTCAGCTGTAATGTGTAACCTGTCAGCTGTAATGTGTATCCTGTCAGCTGTAATGTGTAGCCTGTCAGCTGTAACGTGTATCCTGTCAGCTGCAATGTGTAACCTGTCAGCTGCAATGTGTAACCTGTCCGCTGTGATGTGTGTTCTGTCAGCTGTAATGTGTAACCTGTCTGCTGTGATGTGTGTTCTGTCAGCTGTAACGTGTAACCTTTCAGCTGTAACGTGTAACCTGTCTGCTGTAATGTGTATCCTGTCAGCTGTAACGTGTATCCTGTCAGCTGTAATGTGTAACCTTTCAGCTGTAATGTGTAACCTGTCAGCTGCAATGTGTAAATGTGTAACCCG